TCAGGTCATGATCCCAGGGTCCTGGGATCGAGCCCCACATCGGGCTCCCTGCTCGGCGGGAAGCCTGCTTCTCCCTCTCCCACTCCTCATTTGTGTTCCCTCTCTCACTGTCTCTCTCTCTGTCAAATAAATAAATAAATAAATAATCTTAAAAAAAGGAAATAATACATGTGTATAGTTTCCAAAAAAGGTAAAATTTGAAGGTAAAAAAAAGGGGAGTCATCCGTCGAGTTTCCCACAGTGTGGGTTTTACTGCTTGCATCTCCTCGTTCCCCTGACTCTGTGGTTCCTCTAAATCTCTGGTTGGATCTATAGGTTGATCAAATTTGGGTGGGTTTGATTAATTTTGGTAAGACAACTTCATGGGCAGTGGTGTGTTTGTTCACCAAAAGGTACATAATCATCTACAACATGATTTTTTGTGTTATAAACAGTCATTGTTGCTCAGTTCCATATTTATCTGGGGTTTCAGAATTGGTGAAATTCCGATTCAGAACTTCCCTCCTTCTATGATCTGGTTACCTGTGGTGCATTCAAACAGGAAAATCTGGGTAAATCCCTTATTTTCCCCCAATGCCCAAAGCTCTGGCACATCCAGGTAAGTTGCCAAGGTCTGAAATTGGCAAAACGGTCATAAAGATGGCCTTCATCAGCCTACCCCTCTCTCACTATGCCTTCAGCCACTAGAGTTCACCCCAGGCCCTGTGATCCCTCAGTTTTTCCCCCCATCACCCACCCCATCAGAACCCACCTTCAAGGAGGGCAGGTTCTCATTTTCTCTCCCCTTAGAAGATAAACTGTGGGCATCACCCATCCTAGAGGCATCTGGATCTTCAGCCACCTGTCTCAAATATTAGGTCACCATCCCTGTGGGGTTTAAAACAGGGAGCCCTAAGCCCAAACCCAGTTTGTGATTATGTTTGTTCGGGCCAGCAAGAGTGTTTTTGCTTCTTGTGTTTGTTTGTTTGTTTTAAGCGGAATGAGACTACATTTGGGTAGGGGGCATTTTCTCTCTGGCTAGCTCAGAGGCCAGCACCCCCTCTTGCAGAATACCCGCTCTGGTTCCTGCGTCTCAAACATACTGGTGTTGCCATTTCTGTCTTAGAGAAACCTTGAAGACAGGTGTTAGTAGCCCATTTTACAGGTGAATGAACGAAAACCAGCTAAGTAATGGGAAGGGCTTGAGCGAGGCCTGCCTGGAGATGAGATGGACAGCATGCATTCTGGAAAGTAGACAGACAGCATTGGGAGAACCAGCGACGGGGCCCTCTCTATGCCTGCACAAACTAAAACCCCCATTCTTTTCTCTTCCCTTTTACAGAGACAGCTCAAGGAAGCATGATAAAATGAGGCCTAAGATAATATTTGGGGGGAAGGTTTATTTTTTTATGGTCTGTTTGCATTAGACCGTCGGGCGAAGAGAGGCGGTTAAAGACTTGTCCCAAATGGCTGGGCTGGAGAAGCACAAATCCAATGTCAATAGTTGGAAATACAAGTGTTTGGTTTCATTCAACTTCTTTTTAAAAAATATTTCTTCTTTCCTTCTCCTGAGGCAATCCAAGGGAAGGAGATACAGAGCCGGAAAGAGACAGAGAGGAGCGGGGAGCCAGCTGGGGCCAGGGGAGGCCTGTCCAGACGGCCTCGCTCCCCTCTGCGTGTCATCAGCCAGCCCAGGAGGGTGTCAGGCCTGAGCGGGAGCAGTTGCCCGGAGTCGTCTGCTGGCCCCAAGGACTGTTGCTAATTGAGGGCAGGGGAGCCAGAGTGTCAGCATTTGTCCAACAGCAAACTTAAAAAGCAAAAAAACAAAAAACAAAAAACAAAAGCGGAGCAATAAGGAACAGATCATCAAATCGGGGCCAGCTCCGGGAAAAACAACTTGAGTCCTGTGCTCTCCTGTGTCCCTTTTCAGCAACAGCCGCCTCTTTTCCTTCCCCAAGGCAGAGGCCACATCAGGCAGAAGAGGCCACACGCAGAAGAGGCCAGGTCGAGAATGCAGGATCTAGTCTCCTTGAGCTTTCAGATTAAAATTCCACCTCTGACCCTTATTAACTGGGTCACTTTGGCAAATTCTTTGTGCCTCAATTTCCTCATCTGTAAAATGGAGAAAAAATAAGACCTCATGGCTGGGGAAAGGGTTAAGTGAGAAAACAGGTTAGCACAGTGCCTAGCACGTAGTAAGTGTTCAGTAAACGTTTGTTGTTATTTCATTATTTTTAGAGCTCCTTCTCTCTCTGCCTTTGTCCTTCAGTTACACGCCACTCCCCAGCAGTCCCACTGGATTTGTCTAAAGAGGTAAATGCAGCCAGAAGCATGGAAACACAGGTTCTCTTGCAGGGTATTTTGCACATGGTCCACCAAGACCCTCTCTCTCTCTCTCTCTCTCTCGGTCGGTTTCCACAGAGCTCCATGGACAGCAAGCCCTTACCCTCATCCACACACCCTTGGTGCTATGGCACCATCTACTGGGATAGCCCTCTTCACCTCCATCCACCCAACTCCAGTTCAATGCCCACACTGTAAAAAAATGCTTTCTGTTTCAAGAAAACCAACCCAAGTGCATATAAGAAGACAGGAGATATACTGACCATACAGCTGAAAAGTCCAGGGGGAGGTCTGTCTTCAGGCATGGCTTGATTCAGGGTCTTGCAAGAAGTCACTAGCACCTGATGTCATCTCTCAGTCTCGCGTCCTCTATGTTGGTGTTGCTGTCAGGCAGACTCAACACTTCTGATGGCAAGACATTTGCATCGCCAAGTGAACTCCAGGTTCAAGCTCAGTGAGAAAGAGAACGTTCCTCTCTCCTAACAGCCCCAGCAGATGTTCCATGTGTTCCTTGGCTGTCTTTGGGTCACAGGGCCATCCCTGGACCAATGTTATGGTTGGGTGACAGAGGGAGAAGTGTGACGCTCCCACCTGTAACCCAACTGACAGTTCTTGGATTGATGAAGTGGAGAGGGGTTCTTCCCAGAAAGAGATCAGGGTAGTCTCCAAAATAAGGGAGAAACTCAAAGCCCAGCAAATGCCCACCACACACACGTCTTCCAAAACCCATCCCCAACAATTCTAGCCAAGTCTCTCCTCTGAACTCCTGACCTGATTCTTCAGAGTGCCATTCATGTTGGCAATGTCTTTTATGTCTTTTGCTGGTATCTTTGGTTAGGAGTAAGTCTTGCTACATTAGCTACTCCATGCAACACTTCCATATGAACACTTCCTGTGTCCTTCATTTGGCGATGAATCCAGCGCTGCATCCTTGTTCTGCACTGCTATGTTTCTCTTACTGATCCTGAACTTCACATCCTATATGTATGTCTTACCTGTCCTTCAGGACAGGAAACAAGAATGCTTCTTGCCTGGCACCTTCTATACAGTAATTGCTTGATCGATGTTGTTTGATTAAGAACTGAAGGGCAATTCTTTTCTTATGTCTTCTGTTGGTCGAATGCCAGTAGGTGCTAAATAATATTGCTGGAACCCTAGATTTAGAACGAACACTGAATGTACTTTGGACTTTGATCCAAGCATCCCTAGATCCCCAGTCTGCCCCCGCTGGGGCTGGAGGCTGGGGGTCCTGGAGAAAGACCAGCAGAGCCCAAACCAACGGAGAGGAGTACAGCCCTTAAAACAAACAAAAAGCTGTATCTGGTCTTTCATTCCTCAGGGAATAGAGATTAAGGCAGGGCAGGTCCTTAGCAGGTGAATGAAATAAATCCACAAAATAAGAGAAATACCAAAAGGGAGCTAAACCAGTTTGGACACTTTGTTCAGAGCCTTTGCCATTACCTGCAATGATTACCTGGCAAAGCTCCTGGACATCCGGAGATAGCTCAGTCCTAGCCTCGAGGCTCCTCTCTGGGACCTGGCTGGGGGCTTGATCCCAATGCAACCCAAGCTGAGCTCTGCGCAAGGCCCGCAGGTCAAAGAGCCTCCAGGGACACTGATCAGCCCTCAGGCAAGGGGGAGGAGAGCCAGAAAGGCAGGAAACTGAAGTGTCTCCAGTTCTCCTCAATCCTCTTTAGCGGATAGAGGGGGCCGCCCAGGTGGGCAGGAACTAGTGATCAGGTCAACATGGCCCCTGCCCCTCAGGAAAGCTCCAGCAGATAACTGCCACCTGACACCCAACACCCCTGCAGTCCCCTGTGGGGGCTTAGGCAGATGGAGTAGGGGTGCCAGGGGCAGGGACGTAGTCTTATTCTCCTAGAGCCCTTCACTGCTAGGACTGTGAGAAGACTTCAGATCCTATCCCCGTGTCATCATTTTCTAGCTTCGTGACCCCAAGCAACCTCTCCAGATCTGACTGCACTTATCTTGTGAGGGTGTGAGGTTGGATGAGCCCCCTGCCTGCTTTAAGTTAGGGGACGGTCAATCCTGATGGTATGTTATCACCTGCCCCAGCTCGTCACCCACAGGCCACATCTCTAGGATGCTTGGTTTCCCGGTGGACAGTTCAGGCCAGGTCCCCGCTCCAGCTTGTGCTATGGAGCAATAGGGAAGTGCCGCCCAGCAGTGAAGGGCAGGGCTCAGGGGCCAAACTGTTGCGTCGAGTTCTAGCTCTCCCCCTTTCCAGGCCTCCCCTCTGTAAAATGGAGATAAGTCCTCTCTTGCAGAGTTCCTATGAGGACTCGATGATGTGATGTAGACAAAACGTCTCAGATCAGTGCCTGGCACTGGGTAAGGGCAGGGTAAGGGCTGGCTATTGGTGCCATGAGTGTTTAGGAGCCCACAAGGCTCTTAAAACCACCATCTGAGCTAATAAAAGGTCCAGGATGTCGCTTCCAAAGGCTTCGTCCCAGCGTAAGTTGAGCCTGGCACAGACCCGGGGCCGGGAAGAGATGGCCTTGGCCGTTCTTTTCCTCCTTCCCTCCGGCAGCCGATGGCCTGGAGATTGAAAGCCCCTCCCAGCCTCCGGCTCCAGAGGGTGGTTGGCAGCGCGCTCCTGACGCTGACCGACTGCACCCCACCTTTGCACAGTGGGGCCTGGCAGGCCGGATGCTGCCTCCTTTCCCAGCGGGCTCATGCCAGATGGCTTGATTACCGTGCGGTGCATTTCAGGCCTCCTTGCCATTATCAGCTTCTCGCTTTCAGTGGCTGGATCAGGGACAGGATCCTGCCCTTCCTCCCTGCGCCCCATCACTGGGGGTTTGTTTTCGCAGCAGCCTGGCCTGCACGGGTGAGCCACGACCTATCATAGCAGAGCCTCCTGCCCACGCACACCCACCTGGACGCCGTCCCACCTCCCCTCGGCTCAAGCCCCGCGCCTGCCTCCCAGGATCTGTCTTGAGTGAGGCTTGGCAGGTGAGGAAGGGTCTAGGTCCCAGTTGTCCAGTCTATGCCACCAGCGTTTCCAGGTCCCTGAAGAAAGTGTCTTTCCCGTGGTGATGACCAGCACCCCGGGAAGGATAAAAGAGGAGAAAATTATACAGAAGGAAAAAGCCAGGATTTATACCAGAGTCACAGGTCCTGGATTTACAACATTTGCACCTCCCCCCCAGTCCTTTCCTCACACAGTGCCCCCTCCCACCGTGCCCTCCCCTGTCCCCCATGGCTTTCCTATGACAATACCTCTCACGGGTCCTTCCCTCCCAATCACGCCTTCCCAAATGGACCCCCGCCACACCCAGGCCGGTGCAGCTCCCCTATGTGAGATGAATTCCTGAAGACGGGGTAAGGGATGGGACCTCACCTTTGAATAAGCAAACAAACAAAACTTTCTTTCATCAGAGAGCTCC